TCATGGCTGTTACACGATTGTCTGAAAGGATAACGCGCAAGTACCAGGGGTAGAAGAACGGCCTCACAGGCAGGCAATCATTGAGTCTATCTCCATTTTTTGCTTATTTTGGGCAATATAGCTACAAAGACTTTCGGCATCATCATTACATCAGTGCGCCTACAGATGATACTAAAGATATGCAAATTGCGCGCGAAAAACCCTCCATAATTCTGTCCAAAGTATCGTCAAACAGATGTAAAAAATAGCTCTGAGCTAGTCGTTTCCAAACGAATGCAATGGTATACTTGCATATGGCCGGACCGGCCTGTTGACCTTCTATGGTTAGGAAATGTTTACTCGTTGTGAAAACCCGCAACCTGCTTATTCCAGCTAATGATTCGCATCTTGGAGGACGTCATCCGCCGACTGTTCTGCTCACAGGGCCCAATATGGGTGGAAAATCCACGCTGATGAGGCAGGTTGCTGTACTGGCAGTGCTGGCGCATATGGTGTGTCATTCTCGTGAGAGCAGTTTTTTTTCGTGAAAGGATGCTGAATCTGTTTTGTAGGGCTCATTCGTGCCAGCAAGATCTATGAAGCTGTCTCCAATAGACCGCATTTTCACTAGAATCGGTGCAAATGATAGGTTGATTTGCGGTAAGTACATGTTCATCAATCTTTCAAGATATGGGATTTGATATGTTTCCGGTTTAGGTCAGTCTACGTTTTTCGTTGAGCTGAGAGAGACTCTCGTTATTTTGCGAAACGCGACGAAGCACTCTCTCGTGCTCATTGACGAACTCGGAAGGGGAACCAGGTATCCTTACGGTTTTTAAAGATTCTAGATTCAATTGGTGTTAAATAATCCCCGTCAAAAGAGTCCGTATATACATGCTTGGGTACAGTCATTCGATTTAGTCTCGCAAACATTTTTCCTCCACACGAACAACTTTCTTCTCACGTCCTCTTTTTTTGTTTGTTATTTAGTTTGTTCACATCTATATCTATGAAAAAAACTATAATGGAGAAACGCTACGGAAGTCATAGGTAGGCACGTATGACTGGGATTCTGCCTTGCATTGACTGCAAAGTATATTGTCGGTTCTATTTTTTATGCGAAGTAAGTGCTATTGGTCAGTGTAATGGGGTTGATTTGACATTCGTACAAATCCTGTGTATCATATACACCTTCCTCCGAATTATTCAGGTTTCACCCCATACTGCTAGAGGTAGAGTTTATGTACTTTTTTCCTCCAGCGGCACATGTCGTATCTACAGAAACAGTGGCACACGTAAGCACGACGGTCAAACGCAAAAAAAAACACGCAAGAACAACTCTTCGTGACCATGGCCACGGAGAGTTGTTCTTGCGTGTTTTTCATGCGTTTGATACCGTCGCTTGCCACATGTTTCACGGTGTGCAACTAACATGCTTAGCCGCGAGAAATAAATTGTTGCGAGCCGCAACCGATCATGAGACCCTCGGATCTTACGTAATGGTATGCACCAGTACAGTTTACCATGTGTCACTGATGTTGTCAATTTCCTCCTCCCAGAAGAAAAGAGGATGAGGCTTGATGAATTTGCCGAGTGCCGCTCTCAACTTCTTTTCGTTTTTGATTTGTTTTATTATAATCCAGCAAGCGCTACAGATGACAGAAAGCCAGCGGTAGAAGGTGCAAGGGACCGGACTCTAAAAGGATGGGAATTGACCATCCAGCCACAGCTCTTCAACTCTTAGCAATGTCATCTGGCAACGTTGCGACGGGCGCTGTCGTGGTGAAATTTGATTGTTGCTTTTTTCCTCGGGTGTGGACGACACTAATCTTCACTTCCTTAAGCTTCGCAAGCACGTTTCGGCAACAATCTTCTATTTTTTTTTTCAACAGCACCCTAAGCCTAGCTGCGAGATCATCAAAATAAGAACTCGTTTTCCTCACAGCGGAAAAGTCCGGCTTTGAGACGACGCATTAGACCTTCGCCCTTGGATTGAAAGACCACATGACCGCTCCCTCAGCATTTTTGAGAGACATTGTTCTCATCTCGATGATCAGCCGTTAAATGTATAACTTTTTTTCGAGGAGCCGATAAGAGACGGTGCAGTGTTCCTTTCTCTCATGAGGGGCGAGACACAATCGGATCTAGAACAGGCTTAGGTCGTATTTATCGACGTTCTCTGACGGCATGCATGATTGTCAAGGAGGTAGGTCGATGTCGTTCGCCACGTCTGGTTGGATAACGTCCGAATCTACCCACAATGAATTTACAACAATAAAGCAATTCAATCGCGACCAGCCCGGTGTGTTTGCGAAGTTTCGCCCTTTTTGGATGGTGGCAAAAAAAGAGTCTTGCGCGCGTGCTACCAGAAGAGACAGCGCATGCTGTAGGATCCCTACTTTTGGGTGTGGGTTCCTCTGGGGGTAGGGTGTAGAATCGTGGAGGAAAATGAGGCAGTTAGGAGGTGTATTCTGTTGAATGAATTGGTTGGCATTATGGCTTTCGAGTGGAAGAGGGATGACAATGAGCGCTCGTGAGGGCCAATCAAACGGGGGGTATCTTTTCCGACCAACCTAATTTAAGTGCTTCATCTACAAGATCCTAGGTAAATTAACTTTCATCAAAGTGAAGTGGTCTCAACAAGACATATCAAGAGTGTAGATAATCAATTTGAAAAGTGAACAATGTTTCAGTACTTTTGACGGCACAGCAATCGCATCAGCTGTACTCTCGGATGTTTCCCGTCGTTTACAGTGCCGATCATTCTTCTCTACGCATTACCATTCCCTCTGCAAAACTGCAGCAGTCAATCCCAACATCGCACTTGCTCACATGGTTAGTAGATTTCAACGTTACAGAATTCCCTGATGACAGCACAGTGTCTGGAAAAATTTGCCATTTTTTCTATTTTAAGCTGACCAATTTTAGGCCTGCATGGTGGAAAATGAGAACGAGGCCAATCCCACTGAAGAATGCGTAACTTTCCTCTATCGCCTGACCGACGGAGTTTGTCCGAAATCGTACGGGTTTTTCGCAGCTCGACTGGCCGGAGTAAGAGCAGAGGTCAGTTGATTCTATAAGGTCCCGGTCTTTCCTACACCACTTATGAGTGACCATTTGTTTTTGTAGGTGGTAAAAGAAGCGTACGAAGCTAGTCGTGTATTGTTCGACTCAGTGAATCGCAAGAAGATGGCGATCGCGTCAATCAAGGAAGTCGCACGCGGAGGAGGATCAGTAGAACAATTACGAGAGATGATCAGCGCTTTATGATGATGGGAAACTGGTTGGCGGCAGTAAAAAGTCATTGTTGGGTGCATAATATCTAGATTTCGAAACATGATTTTTCGGATTTGGACCACATCAGAGCACATCTCTAGGAATTTCGTCTGTAATTATATTAACATTTCAGTTGCTCGATTCAATTTAATCATTAAAGTACTCGATAGCTTCATATTAATGGTGAACTTCACGGTGTACAACGTTGTCATACATTACTTAAAAACGGTAGCATTGCAAGATTCTATATGTGTCGAAGAAAAGATTGTTGTGGCTCATTGACAAATTTCTTCCGTGTCACGATTTTCGTTTTGATAACCTCTGAGCTTTAATTAAGTAATTTGCAGATTGTGAATTGGACATTCATATGCTGTGCTATCATTATTTTGTGAAATTTTCCAATGAAACAGATCTTCAAAGTTGTTTATTTTGTACATCTTCATTGTGTGCGAAACGCAGTGTGAGTAAAGAAGGTAATAGTTTACAGTAATACATATGCTCAGATCATCAGTAGCAAAATGAGTGGTAGCCATTAAAGGAAGCGATTACGATAAAGAGGGAGCGCATCGGGGAAGCATGTGCACCACACGAATCAGTTACTTGGCTGCCAGGGAAGCGAGATGTGGCGCTTTCACAACGAAAGGTGCGCTGGTTGCTGAGCAGGACTTCGAAAGCGCTCCGCCCCCAAAAGCGATCCGCCCACTAGTTTACTTGTTGATTTGGACGAGCTGGCCAGCAGCGGCACAAATGGAGCATCTCGATTAAAGCGTGTTTGGCATGGTGCCATCAAACGCGTTGCGGTGAACTCGTTCATAATCCACTTTTTAGGCTGGTGTCAGAGTCCGCGATCCGTCGCAGGTTTCGCTGATTTTCGCGATTTGCGCGATTCGCGACGGATCGCAAAAATTGCAAGTGTGTGAACATTTGAAACACTGAATATGAAACAAGTGGAATCATGAGCAGTCGTCATTCAGCCATCACTATCAAGCAGAAGTGGCGGCAGGATTGGAGAACACCTTGCAGTATTGATCGGGCACTTGTGATTTCCGTGACCCGTCGCGCGAAAATCGCGCAAATCGCGAATCGCGAAAATCAGCGAAACCTGCGACGGATCGCGGACTCTGACACCAGCCTTAGCTGTTACCTGTTCATGAGTGAGAACCAACGGCCAAAAAAGGGGTCCCGTTTTGCGTTTTCTTGACGGATTTTTCCGCTTTTTTTGCTGCTGGCGTACCATTGAGCACCACCACGTCACACTAAACCCTTCTTGAATCCATCGTAACTCGCTGCTTTAAATGTGAGATCTAATCAGGAGAGGTCATTGGGTCAGCTTAGCCAAGTAAAATGCGGTGTATTTATTTACGCATCTTAAGAGCTCAAAACAACTCTGCCTTCCTTTTCCTTTTTTTCCTTCTTTTTCCAGTTTTAAACTATTTTCTATAAAGAGTTATGAAGGTTTTTTTGCCGCCCTCACTGTTTGTCCTGCCCGGAATGACATGAAGGTACCATTGTGAGCTACACGAAAAACTTGAGAAGTGGGATGCAGTGGAGCATTGGTAGCGATCTTGTTTCTGGAGCAAGAGGTCACCGACTCCAAGCGTGGTTTGCTGGTCAAAAGGCTTGTCGAATACGTTACTTCATCAACCGTTGATTGCCTATAGCTGCATCTATGACGAGTTTCCGAGCAGTCCACAGTTATAGGGTTGCCACTACCCAGACAACAACAACTAAGGTTGATCGATCATGGACGACAGAAGAGTGGGAGAAGAGGGCTTGCACTTGAGAATAATGCCTTGTGGATTCTGGGACGGTGCGGACAGGTGAACCAAACATGTTTTTGTCTTTTTTGGAAGTTGACTCTATCACGATCCCACTCTTCGGTAACGCGTTGATGGATGACTAAGTGAATCAAGTTTTTCGAGGTCAGGTCAAAAATTCAGAATTGGCCAGAAGTTTGCTCATAGGGGCACTCGCGACTCCCTGGCTACGAATATCACACCATTCGATGCGAAAATAGCTGGCGCAGGAGCTACAGCCAGGGTCAACCGTCACGTTCGAACATTTTCGGGATTTTTGCGACCCCCTAGCTCTCGAGGGGGTCCAGTTGCGACCCCCTGTTTTTGTTAATAAGAGTGCTAGACATGAATCCGTTGCGCCAGAACCGCCGCAGAAAGCGTCTGCGTTGCGGCGTCAGCCTTGGAGCGCGGCAGGTATCACCCGGGCGCTGGAAGAACGGGACGCGGCGAAGAAAAAATTTTAGAGGGGAATAACTTTCTTGGGACGTATTTTTTTTGTTGAGGTAGATTTTGATTGTGCCTGAGGTGCGCTTTCAGAAAACTACAAGGATTGCCTAACTCTCCGGAAAGTACTTCTGTTAGAAGTGGAAAACCCAAAATTCTAAGAAGGCGCACCTTCAACTTTGAAGGCCCATAAAATCTTTCGTATGCGACATTTTGGAAATCTGTAAAAAGTTTCAGAAACTTCAAATATTTCTCTAACAAAATAGTATAAAAAGTTTAGTGATTGTCCCCTTTTTCAAAAAATTGTCCCGTTCGAACATTTTTCGTGCAAAAGCGAGTTTTTGGGCTTTCAGCGACCATAACTCACTTCATTTTCATTTCTGTGATGCACTTTTTTCATGGGGTGAAAGTACAGGATTTGCTCTTTCTAACAAGCCCCAAACCGTTTTTCAAAGTTCATTTTTCGAGAAAATCACACGTTCGAACATTTTGGGGGTTTTGCCGAACACTTTTTTTGAAATCGCGAGTTTTTGGGCTTTAAGCGGGCATAACTCACTTCATTTTCATTTCTGTGATGCACTTTTTTCATGGGGTGAAAGTGCAGGATTTGCTCTTTCTGAACAAGCACCAAACCGTTTTTCAAAATCCATTTTCCGAGAAAATCACACGTTCGAACATTTTGTTCCCATAGGTTTTTGAGCAGCACATGCGAGTTTTTGAGCTTTCAGCAATAATAACTTCCTTCAAAGAACTTGTTGGGGAGGGGCGAAGACATTTTTGAAGACTACGAGATTTCTGCTTTCTTATGTGTTTTACCGTTGTCTGGAAGAATCGTCCTCAGAAAATTAGGTCCCGAAGAACTTTAATTTCAGCCCCGAGAAGTCAAACCTTTCATAGGGATGCATTCAACTGTTCTTTATTCCTCAAGGAAAACACCGTAATTTGCCTAAAACTGTCTCTCTGTGCATAATAAATCGAATCTAATGCGGTCTGCACAAGCAATTCTTGCCCTCGGATACGCCACGCACGCGCCTGTGGCTGGCAGTCCTCGAAATTGCGACCCCCTTCCGACCAAAATGCGACCCCTTCGTTCGAACAGTTCGAACGGACGGTTGACCCTGGCTACAGCCGCCTAGTTTAGTCACGAGCGAATGTCGCCCAATAACGTTATTAACTTTTTGAAAACTTCTCAAATTTTTTGTAAAGGCAACCATATATGTGAGCTAGTGATGCGAGTAGCCCTACTAGCTATGTTGCAGAAAACAGCAAGAAAGCAAGGTCGTCCATGAATCGATCCCACGACCTCTTGTCTCAGAGTCTAGAACACTGCCACTGCACCTTGATCGCTTCATAATCGTTTAGAGAAGAGTGTAGCAGATAGTGAAGACAAAATGAGTTCAGTGTTCCAGGGGCTTTTATCAGTATGTATCTTTTCAATTGGCCAAGTCAACTTAAACTTTTCTGGGGCTGTATCCTACCCTTCCCTCAGGCTAACGACTACAACTTTTCTTTGTCTTTCCAACAGAAATCCTTAGATACTGCATATTTGTAATATGTGTGGGTGTGAAAGCAAACAAGGACGGAAAATGAAGGAACAGCGTTGTTGAAAACAAATAAATTTAAAAATTCTTTTGTTCCCCAAGCCTTAGGAAGGATAGGATGCTGCCCCTTGTAGAGACTTTCAATGGTATTTAATTAAGAAAGCCAATTGGAAAATTCCCCCATATAATAGCGCCAATCGGTACGCAAATTTGAACCCGGTATGTAGCGACCACATTGACTTATTGCGTCACGGTCACTAACCGCTGAGCCGATCGTACACATCTTAGCAACGCCTAGACCAAGTACTTGTGACTATTGCCGACTAGGAC